GCCCCGCCCGCCCGCTTTCGGGAGGCGGCGCCGCCGCCGCCGCCGCCGCCGCCGCCGCCATGGCCACGCCACCGCTGGAGGACGAGCTGACCTGCTCCATTTGCCTGGGGCTTTACCTGGAGCCGGTGACGCTGCTCTGCGGCCACAACTTCTGCGGGGCCTGCATCCGGGACTGGGGGGACCGCTACGACAAGGCGTGCCCCGAGTGCCGGAAGCCCTTCCCCGACGGCGCCGAGCTGCGCCGCAACGTGGCGCTCAGCGCAGTGCTCAAGGCGATGCGCGCCGGGCCCGCCCCGGCCCCCGGCCCCGACCCTGCCCGGGCCTCTGGCTCCGCCCCGGGCGCGCGCTGCCCCCGGCATGGGCGGCCACTCGACCTCTTCTGTCGCACCGAGGGTCGCTGCATATGCAGCGCGTGCACCGTGAACGAGTGTCGCCTCCACGAGCGGGCGCTGCTGGACGCCGAGCGTCGGGAGCGCGAGGTGACACCGGGGTTCCCTGCCCTGTCTCTCTCGGCGCCCGGACTGGGGCGGGCAGCTTAAGCAGGAGGAGGCTTTGGGATGTTTGTGTGTATTCCCCGAATAAAAGGAGAAAACAGGTGCTTGGAATAGAGATTTCGGAGCTGGTGACAGGCTCAGGGTGAGACCCCAGGACTGAGTGGCTGAAATGGAGTGAAGGAAAGGGCTCTGAGGTGAGGATGTCAAGGAGCCGGGAGCCAGTCACGGAGAATGAGGATGAAATGTTACTGCTGAGGCTCTGAGCATGAAAGTGGGTAACCCCGGCCAGCAGGTGACAGCAGCAAGGAGGGAGAGAGTGGCAGGTGGTGCAGACAGATGGCACGTGCACGCCAAGGGAGCCTGCGTTTTGCTAGAGCAAGGTGAAGTGATGTGGGGTGTGAGAGGACAGATGCGCATCCCTGAGGGGACAGTCAGGTAGAACCAGGAGAGAGTGACCCCTCCCCACTTCCTGCCTGTGGCACATTGTACAACGCTGGAGGCCATGGGGCCTGGACAAAGACAATGGGCTTAGGAAGATCTGTCTGATGGCTTTGGCCAGAGTATCAATTTCTGTGTCCTGTTTTCTCATCTGCGAAGTGGGGATTATGATGGCCCTTGCCTCATAAAATGTGGCCTGGAGAAGTGGAAGCAAAACAGGCTCTTGACCAGAGGCTGGGAATGATGCTTTGTCCTGCTCCCATAAAAACACAACATTCTGACCCTCAAGGGTACCAGAAGAGTCACAAATAGGGGTGCCCTCTTCTCCCCCATGCCCAGAGCTGGGGCTGAGGACTGGCCGGGCATTTGGAAGAATCCACTCTGTACATGTACCACACTACCCACTGGTCAAATAGCTTTGGTGATCTGACTTGTCCCCACTTCCCTGCGAGGCTGCCGAAGCCAGAAGTGTCACTCCCACCATTTATTGACCGGAGGTAGTGCGGGGTGGGTTTACAGCCCAGAGACAGTGCGGGCTCTGCTCCAGGTTGCTCAGCCTGCAAGAGGAACTGGAAGTCAGGTTTAAAGCCCAAGGTCTCTGCTCTGCCTGTGTACCTCCCTGCTCCAGTTGGAAACGGGCTTTGTCTGGGTTTCCCTGGGACTCTGACCCAGTTTACCTGGGGCTCAGACCAAGGCCGGTGTTCTGTGTGCCGGTCAACTGGTCAGCCTTGCCTGGGGTGGCACGGGGAGGGGATGCCCCACATCTGCAGCTATTTGTTGATCGAGGGGAGGACTTCACAGCCATCCCTGGTCCCCCCTTGTCGCTTGTTCCCTGGTGGGCACCACAGGCCCAGCTGAGAGCCATGCTGGAGGTCAGCCAGCAGCAGGCGACCCAGGCCGAGAGGCAGCTGAAGGAACTGCAGCGGCAAAGAAGCCAGATCCAGGTACAAGGCCCATCTGTGCATCCTCATGCTGTGTCCTTCAGGCAGCCACCAGTCGCTCCCTGGGACACTGGGTAGTAGGTGTGAGCTACCTTGAAGATGCCCCCGGGCCCAGGGAGGGAGGGACTGAGCAGGGTGGGGAGAAATGTTCCAGGGACCCTGGCTACCCGCATCCCCCACCCCTCAGCCCAGTGGGCAGCCTTGGCAATGGCCACCCTAGGCCACTGCTTCGCCCACACAGAGCTCGGCCTGCAGCCTGGCCTCCGTGATCTCTAGCAAGTTCAGCTGCCTGCTGCAGGCCCTAGAGATGCGACAGGCCTTGGCATTGAGGGACATCAAGGTGGCGGAGACTCAGGCGCTAGCACAAGCCCGGGATGGAGAAGAGCGACTACAGGGCCACCTGGAGGCCCTGGCTAGTTATGACCGCGGGGTCCGGGACCTCCTGGAGCAGCTGGATGACCGGGCCTTCCTCCAGGTACCAGGCCTCGGGGCAGCAGGTTGGGGGGACCAGCGCCCCTGCACCTGGCACACAGGCTCACTGCAACTGTCCCTGGGGCTCAGGAATCACAGCTCCTGGTCCCCCCGGGGCCTCTTGGGCCTCTGACTTCTCCGCAGTGGGACGAAGATCAGCAGCTGGCCGGCCTGAAGGAGTCACTGAGCCAGCTGTGTGGCCTCCTCCTGGATGAGGGGGGCCACCCCAGGGCACCAGCTGAGGCTGCTGATTTGGGCCCCGTAGGTAAGGTTGGCCCCACGGCGGGTGGGAAGGGGGGATCAGGACTCTGCCCCCGACGAGCTCCCCTCCCCGTCACTGCCCTAACACTTCTTTGCCTCCTAGGGGCCCCAGGCCCCCTGGCACCGGTCCCGAGTCCAGTTTGTCCACTGAGGAGGAAACTCTGGCAGAGTAAGGAGACCGGCAAGTGTGTGTGTGCACATGCACGTGTGCATTGTGCGTTCATGTGTACCCTCTGCGTACGTGTGTGCATGTCTCGGTGGGTGGGCGTGTACCTGTTGGCGGGGGGCACATGCTGCGACTGCCCTGCCCGGGATGTCTGCTCCATGCCCGTCGCCCCTGCTGCACACCTGTCGCAGGATGTCAGCTTCTTACACGTGGGGCCAGTAGAGCACGTAAGGAGATTCTGGGCTTGCAAACGTGGGCCAGTTATGAGTCTTCCACTCGTTACCAAGTTAGGTTACCTTGGGGAGCCTCAGTTTCTTCCTCTTTGAAATGAGGTGAATGGAAGGTTCCACTCGCAGGCCGCCTGCTGTGGTGACGTCACCGCTCGCTGGTCGCCTGACAGACGCGTGGCTTTGCACTGGTGGGGCTCCAGTTGCCATCTGTCGCTCTGGGGACAGGACGGTGGATGTGCACAGCTGTCTGCCCGCTCACCTTCCGTCCGTCCGTCCGTCCCTGACAGATTATCGCAATCTGACCTTCGATCCGGACAGCGCCAATCGCCACCTCTACCTGTCTCGGCAGGACCAGCAGGTAAAGCACCGTCACAAGCCCCGGGACCTCGCCGGGCCAAGCAGCTTCGAGCTCTGGCAGGTGCGGTGTGCCCAGAGCTTCCAGAACGGACGACACTACTGGGAGGTGCACGCATCTAACCACTCGGTGACCCTGGGCGTCGCCTACCCGGACCTGACGCGGCACAGGCAGGGGCCCCACACAGACAACATCGGTCGTGGGCCAAGCTCCTGGGGGCTCTGTGTTCAGGAGGACAGGGCTCAGGCTTGGCACAATGGGGAGGCCCAGCTCCTCCCAGGGGTGTCAGGGCAGCTCCTGGGCATGGACTTGGACCTGGCCTCTGGCTGCCTCACCTTCTACAGCCTGGAGCCCAAGGCCCAGCCCCTGCATACCTTCCATGCCATCTTCACCCGGCCCCTCTACCCTGTCTTCTGGCTCCTGGAGGGTAGGACCCTGACCCTGTGCCATCGGCCTGAGGCCAAGCTCCCTCCGGAGCCCCAGGAAGAGGCCTCAGAGCCCAGCTGAGGAGGGCACAGGATGGAGCTCTAGGCCAGGAACAGCTGCCACCATGCCTGTGCACCCAAAAGCTGCCCAGCCCCTAGCTTGGGGACCTGAGGCCACAGCTATAAGGGGACCAGCTCTGGGCCAGAAGATCGACTCAGAACTAGGCTGGGCCACTTGGAAAGAGAGGTTGGGAGGGAGCCCCGAAACCGGAGTTTGCTCTTCCAGCATCACTGAAGGGTACGGGGACTAGGAAGGGACTCAAACGGGAGGACCCTGCCTGAGCAGAGCCCACTTCTGGGCACTGCCTGTGCATCCGCGGCTGATGCCACTCCCGTGGGCTCCTGGTCCTGCAGGAGAGCATGCGCAGTCCGGGCCTCGCCACACAGTGTGGCAAAGACACACTCCGCTGCCACGGGCCTCCTGTGAAGGTGACGGAGATCAGAGGAATTGGGGGGTAGCTTGGGGGTGCCACACAGCACAATTCCTGGAGAAAACCTAGAGAAAAGTGATTTTTTACCTCTTTCCTCCCTTTTTTTTTTCCCTTAACCTTTTGGTATATCTTAGTTTCTTTTGTACATACTTGTGGTTGCATTTTAAAAACACTTGTGTTTTTTGCATTTTTTTATTTAGCATAACCATTTTTCATGGTATTAATATTTTCCCCTGAATGATTACCATATAAACGGTCTTCCTAATGACTACCAGAATTTATTTCCCTAATACAGGCGTCCTCTGCTTTCCAAAAGTTGAAATTCTGCCACTTCGCTTTCATAAAAGACCTACATGGTTTCGGATTTCTTTTGGTGAGTGCAGACAGGTGCTAATGGGGGTCTTTTGTAAAGCAAAGTGGCAGAACCTCAACTTTCAAAAGCTAGGGGTACTCTGCTGTGTGCTGTTTCTGCTTATGAAAGATTTCATAAGGACGCTCTGCTTTTGGATACTGCGGGGGAACCCGTATCCGACATTGGAATTGTTTTATTTGAGGCTGTAAAAATTTCACCCCATGCATATTTTTGAGCAGAAAGCTTTGACCATATCCATGGCTATGTATGTAGGCTGAAATCCTAGTGGAGTTACTCAACAGAAAAATAGTAAGGGGCACCTAGGTGGTACAGTCAGTTGAGCGTCTCTTGGTTTCTGCTCAGGTGGTGATCTCAGGGTCGTGATGCCGGGGTCTGCTTAAGACTCTTTCTCCCTCTACCTGCCCCTCCCCCCTTAAATAAACAAAATCTTAAAAAATGATAATGAGCACTTGAAGATTTTATTTTTATACAGATGGCCAAAATGAAGCAACCTCAAGTCAGGCGGACCCTTCCCCTCCTCGCCCCCACCAGCCAGCTTAGCTGGGCACAGCCTCAGCCCCTGTCCCCTCTACCCCAGGGTATGGGGGTTAAGTGCAGTGATGTGTATAGGTGCCAGGACAGTGCTGGCTTCCTTTGTTTTTGTTTTCCCTACTCAGAATGTACTTTCCTGACGATCCCTGGACATACATTTGTTAGTGTTTCTGGAAGTGGGTGCTGGGACCTGGAGCAGCTGTAATTCTGTTACTTAAAACATTTCACTTCTTGGGGCGCCTGGGTGGCTCAGTCGTTAAGCGTCTGCCTTTGGCTCAGGTCATGATCCCGGGGCCCTGGGATCGAGCCCCGCATCCGGCTCCCTGCTCAACGGGAAGCCTGCTTCTCCCTCTCCCGCTCCCCCTGCTTGTGTTCCCTCTCTCGTTCCCTCTCTCGTTCCCTCTCTCGTTGTCTCTCTCTGTGTCAAATAAATAAATAAAATCTTTAAAAAAAAAAAAAAATTTCACTTCTTGATCTGGGTGGTGGTTACAAGGATGTTGGCTGTACAACTGTTTATGCTGTACATGTATGTTTTATATACACATGAATAATTGTTTTTACAATAATTTTTTCAAAGGATAACACATGCAAAAACACATACTCCAGAAAAAAACCGAAAAATTTTTGTATTTGTGAATAATACATCTCCCTCCCATATTGTAACGTGGCCCGGGCCACGGCCAGGGCTGCACACTCTGTCCTGCAGGTGCCTCCCCAGCCTGTGGCTCTCTGTTCAAGGGCAGGGCCAGGCCTCTGATCAGTACAGCCTGGGCAATGAGCTGCTAGGAGGACTCCTAAACTGGGGACTCCCCAAACATGGGGAGAGGGCTCTCGCACCAGACAGGCTGACAGAGCACAGCTGGGTTGACAGTTGCTGAGAAAGTCAGCAGGGGAGGAAGCAGGGTTGGGCTGGCCAAGTGACTGGCATTGCTGGCCATCCATGTACAGGTTCGAACCATCACCACCACCAACCCACCCCCCATCCCAAAGCCCCAGCATGCATGTCTGACAGGCGGTGCCCACACTCTGAAAGGGAGAGAGAAAAGAAGAACAGCCCCCCTTCTGCTTCTGTGGTGGGAAGGATTTGGGTGTTCATTCTATGATACTACTTTTTATCAGGTTGTTAGTCCTTCCTGTGTTGTTCTGTAGGAGTGTTCCTTACTGTGACCGTTCACTTTTATTTACGTATGATGAGATGCTACTGCCCTTTTTGTAGAAAACTACCCAGTTTTGTAGACTGTGCTTTTCAAGTAGGTGTGGGGCAAGCATGTGCAAATTGTTGGAAAGCTGCTTCAAATGAAATGCCCTCCATCCACCCAATTCTGACAGAAGTCTGCCTCCTCTCTGGGAAAAACGCATTGGGAGAGAGGGGGAAAAGAGCATGGACTTTGGGGTGTAACGTTTGTAAGGGGGATACATTTGATTAGCCTGTGGGCGTTTCCAGCATATCTGCCCCACCCCTTTAGTATCTGGGCTTCTGTGAGGCAGAATCAGGAGGCACACCACAGCAGGGTAGGGGGACAGGAGAGATTTTAAAAGACAGGGGCCTTAGGTGCCAGGGGAGTTGAGGGAGTTGGGTTGGAGGCCGCTGTTCTCCAGGCAGGAAGGGATAGGAGGGAACAGCATGGTGACTGTAGGAGATGTGGCTTCAAGTAACATGGGACTGGAAGCTAGAAGACAGTGGAGCCAAGCTTTCTGAGGGCAAAGGATTTCCATTCCAGGATTTCATACCCAGCCAAACAGTCAGTGTCAGAGTCTGAACAAAGACCTTTGGGGGCACTTTCACACCCATTCTCAGGAAGCCCCCAGAGGATGTGCTTTTCCAAAGTAAAGAAGTAAAGTCAATGAAGGGGAAGGAAGACCTGGGACCCCAGCAACAGGGAGTTCAACACAGAAAAGAAGTGATAAAGAATTGAAGTCTCCAGAAACTTGAGTGTGAACATCCACAGGATGTTCAAGGCTTATGAGCACGTGCTTTATGGATGAGGAGGTAAATGCTAAAAGAAAGGTAAGATATTGAAAATGGAGGTCATGGGAGCAAGCAGCTGGAGTAGGTGGGGCACAGAACTGCCAGCTTTTGTTATAAGTCTCATTAAAAGAACAGCAAGTAAAGCCTAACCCCAGCAGGAGAAGAGAATAAAGATTAGAGCAGAAATCAATGAAATAGAAACCAAAAGAACAGTAGAACAGATAAACAAAACTAGGAGTTGGTTCTTGGGAAGAATTAATAAGATCGATAAAGCCCTGGCCAGACTTATCAAAAAGAAAAGAGAAAGGACCCAAATAAATAAAATCATGAATGAAAGAGGAGCGAACACAACCAACACCAAAGAAATACAATTATAAGAACGTATTATAAGCAACTATATGCCGGGGCGCCTGGATGGCTCAGTCATTAAGCGTCTGCCTTCGACTCGGGTCATATCGGGCTCCCTGCTCCGCGGGAAGCCTGCTTCTCCCTCTCCCACTCCCCCTGCTTGTGTTCTCTCTCTCACTGTCTCTGTCAAATAAATAAATAAAATCTTAAAAAAAAAAAAAATAAGGGCGCCTGGGTGCCTCAGTTGGTTAAGCGACTGCCTTCGGCTCAGGTCATGATCCTGGAGTCCCAGGATCGAGTCCCACATCGGGCTCCCTGATCGGCGGGGAGTCTGCTTCTCCCTCTGACCCTCTTCCCTCTCGTGCTCTCTATCTCTCATTCTCTCTCTCTCTCTCAAATAAATAAATAAAATCTTTTAAAAAAAAAATAAAATAAATAAAATAAGCAACTATATGCCAGCAAATTAGGCAATCAGGAAGAAATGGATATATTCCTAGAAACTAAACTACCAAAACTGAAACAGGAAGAAATTAAAAACATAAACAGACCCTTAACCAGCAAGGAAATTGAAGCAGTAATAAAAAATCTCCCAACAAACAAGAGCCAGACGGCTGCCCAGGGGAATTTCACCAAACATTTAAAGAAGAAGTAATACCTATTCTTCTGAAGTTGTTTCAAGAAATGTAAATGGAGGGGCGCCTGGGTGGCTCAGATGGTTAACCATCTGCCTTCGGCTCAGGTCATGATCCCAGAGTCCTGGGATCGAGTCCCACATCGGGCTCCCTGCTCCTTGGGAGCCTGCTTCTCCCTCTGCTTCTCTCTCTCTCTCTCTCTCTGCCTCTCATGAATAATAAATAAATAAATAAAAATCTTAAAAAAAAAAAAAAAAGAAAGACATGTAAATGGAAGGAAAACTTCCAGACTCTTTCTATGAGGCCAGCATTACCTGGATCCCCAAACCAGACAAAACCAGATCTTGATCCCAAACCCCACCAAAAAGGAGAATTTCAAACCAATATTCTTGATGAACATGGATGCAAAAATTCTCACCAAGATACCAGCCAATAGGATCCAACAGTACATTAAAAAAGATTATTCACCACGACCAAGCGGGATTTATTCCTGGCCTGCAAGCGTGGTTCAACATCCACAAATCAATCATTGTGATACACTACATTAATAAATGAAAGGACAAGAACCATACGATCCTTTCAATAGATGCAGAAAAAGCATTTGACAAAGTACATGCATCCTTTCTTGATTAAAACTCTTCACAGTGTAGGGGTAGAGTGAACATACCTCAATATCATAAAAGCCATATGCAAAAAGCCCACAGCGAATATCATTCTCAATGGGAAAAAACTGAGAGCCTTTCCCCTAAGGTCAGGATCACCTTAGGCAGGGATGTCCACTCTCA